GCAGGGTCCCGCCAGGTTAGCCTTTGGGTGGGAGGAGGGCCCGTTGGAGCTGAGGGAGCTAGAGGGGGCTAGAGGGATGCCCAGGGCCCGGCTCGGTCGGAGGCTGCTTCCGATGTTCCTGCAGATAAGACAGTGACTTTGGACCCTCGGGGGGGGGGAGGATGAAAATGGGTGTGTGCAAACCTGTCTGAAACATTGGGGAGGGGGTTATGATGGCACAGCCTTCTTGGCTTCAGTGCCCACTGCGGTGCCCCCTCTCTGATTTTCCAGGGATGCAAGGGGGGGCATTCATTCCTGTTGGGAATTCACACACACACACACACACACTCCACCCTCCTCTGCTCCCTCCATCTTGCCCCAATGAGTGGGGTAGGAGAACCACCCCGTTGCTCATACCCCACCCCACCCCCACCCGCTGGCTCCTCGGCATCAGCGTCCTGCTGGGACTTGCGGCTCGCTCAGAGAAGAAGCTCCTGGGGTGACAAACGAGGTGTCATCCTTGAAAAGAGAGGCTTTTTATTTCGCGGGGGGGGGGGGGGGNGCAGATCTTGAGCTCATACGCCTTGCTCAAAGCATAAGGGATGAGGGCAGAAGCCTCCTGGGCTTCCCAAGGGGGTCCCGGGCATGGTGGGAAGCCCCCCCCCACACACACACCCCATTGTCTTTTCCTCCGTGGAGGCCTCAGGGCGCTCCGGGATGCTGCACTGGGACCGTCCTTTTTTCTGCCTGGCCCAGGCTGCGTGAACGGCTGGTCTCGTGGCTTGCTGGTGTCCCCCCCTCCCTCCCTCCCCATTTGGGCTTTCCGGTGGCCGACAGGTCGTTCGTAGGAGCCTCTGCAGCTGCCGTTGGGGAGCAGCCCGGGATAGCCCTCTGCCTTGCTCCGCGCCATCCGCGCCGTCTTAGAGGGAAGGATGGCTGGGCGTTTGGGTGGATTCCTCTGAAGGACCGGTTTTCAACATGGCCCTTTGCCCCAGTGGGGCAACGCCCAGAGGCCCGATGGCAAGGGCTTTGGAGCAGATCTGGCACGTTTTTTAAAATTCTACTAAAGAAAATGAATAAGGACAACGCTAACATAACAGGTGTATAGAGACAATACAACACATCTACAATTCCCCTCCTGTGCCGCCCTCACCCTCGGGACTAGGTAACCAAAACATCCTTTTAATCCCTTTTCACCCGATTCCACTCAAAAAATGCATGGATCCTTCTGCTGGCTTAGGACCTTTCTCTTTCACAAAGACAGGTTTCAGATATAAATTCCATACCTCTTTAAAATCATTATATTTTGTCATTCCCCTTCTTGCTATCATTTCATGAATCGCTAAACTCCACATTTCTTTGTGCCAATCGTCAAGATCAATTGGCTTATCGCTTTTCCAATTCTTTGCAAATATTAGTTTTGTTGCTGTGACCATTATAATGATTAACTCTTTCTGTTCTTTTTTTAATGTGGCCATTCTTAATTATATTTAATAAGGCAATCATTGGTGATATTTGAATATTATATCCAACAATTTCTCTAATTTCTTTAGAAACCAGGGCCCATTCTTTCTTTCTTGTTTCACAAGCCCACCACATATGCATAGAGACCCCTTTTTCTTATTTTACATCTCCAGCATTGAGATGGTCCATTTTTATTTATAACGGAACATTTAGTTTGAAGAAAGCCAGATTAAAAATAATCTTTACAAGCAGGCTGAGAATGTTCTTTAAAAGCCCATTTTACAATCTTCTCTAAAAGAGGGGGAACAAAACTCGATCCTAGGGGCCAAAATACTTTCAGAGGCCGTTCAGAGGTCTAGAAGAGATCTTGGACTACAACTCCCAGAATCCCCTAGCGGGCAGGAGAGGGTCGTGGGAGTCCATCGGGGCAAAAGCAGGACTTCCTCTGGTGTCGAGGTTTTCAGCCTCCCAAGTCTTCCCTGCCAGGAGATTGGGGGGAGTCTGGCCGGGGGGGGGTTAAGACCAGGTCTGGGAAAGCCAAGGCCCTCCTTGCTGGCGCCCCACGGACGGGCCAGGCTGGAGAAGCAGAAACTCAGTGGCTCTCTGGACACCCACATCCCTTTTGCAGCTGGCCAGCTGTGGGCCCCCCCCCCAGCCTCCCTGAGCCCTGGGGCTTGGAAGGGGTGAGCGGAGGCTGGCCCTGCCCGGCCATTCCTTCCCGGCTGGCCGGATTGGCCACCTTTGCG